CAACTATACTTCAATTTAAAAAAAAAAAAAGGCAGAGCTGCTGGAATTCAGAGCCAAGACCACCAGACTCCAAAGCCCACGCTCTTCCCACGATGCTAAGCAACGGACATCACACCGTCTCGCCAGCCTCCTCTTGGTGACAGCCCTCAGTCTCCTCAGAGAGGACGGTCACTCTCCTATTTCTTGTGGCAGTGAAAATTCAAGCCTTTTCTTCCAAGCCCTATGCTCTCTGCTCAAAGCCCCAAACACTGGATGCTCCCGAATCAGTCTTGCCAGGTAACTGAATCTCTATCTGCTTTGAACCTCAATCCAACCCAATAGTTCTTTTTCTAATTTTACAATAAAAAATTTTATGTTTTTATTCTTACAAGTGCAGAGAGACGTAAAGAGTCCTCTAAAGGTATGTGTTTTCCACCGAGAAAGTGAAGTGCAAGAAGAGAAAGCAATTGAACAGGACTAGCTCTGCAGATCCTTCCCATCATCTCCCCTGCTTCTAACCCTCTACTGTGTTAGCAGGCCCGAAGTGTGCCTGGGTCCTTCCATGAGCCACCCTGGGACTAGCTTTCAACAGCCAGGAAATCCTCTACAGGTGAAAGAGTTCTGTTCCAAGAGCACATTCGTTAAGTCCAGTTTGTTCATAAGTCCAACAAAGTTAGCCTAGGTACCCAACTAACAGAATGGGCTATATAGTACTGTACTGTAATAGGTTTATAATACTTTCCATGGCAACCCACTCCACTACTCCTGTCTGGAAAATTCCATGGACGGAGGAGGCTGGTAAGCTATAGTCCATGGGATGGCAAAGATCTGCACACAGTTGAGCAGCTTCACTTCTCATGAATCAGGCTGCTTGCCACACAAGTAACACACACAATAAAACAAGAAAGCACAAACAATTCAGCATGTTTAATCTTATAACACAGTACCTTGGAAAGTACACTAGTACCAGCTGTGTCATCGCAGCGTTCACGCGTGCTTCCGGACACCCTGGGTTTGAAATAAAGATACTGCACTGTGGTCGTCTGTACAGTTCTGTACAGTGACATACACAAAGGCACAGCCACTCGTGGAGGATGCACTCAAGTGACAACGCACAGCCAGACACGTGCACTCACTCATGTGACTGGATGTGCGAGCGCACGTGCGCATCTCTGAAAGTTCGCAACTTGAAGGTTGGTAAGTAGGGGACTTACCGTATAGTAATCAAACGCTGCCATACTTGCAGCAGGCACGCTGGGGATACAAAGATGGTACAGGAAAAGTGTCTGTCCTTAGGGAGCATGCAGTCTTTCCTGAAAGCTGGATACACGCATCACAAGAGACTGTACAACGCCGCCGGGGTCGATAAAGAACCACAGAGCTAGCGTAGACGAGGACAGGCAGGGAAGATCAGTTGCTAGTGGGAGTGTTTCCGCTGGAGGTGAGGTAAGCGCTACGTGCCCTTGGATGGGAGCAGGTGCCTTGCTGAAAAAGGACTCTGGTCACACCAGATTAAAGTACTGGGTTAAGCCAAGGCAAACAGCATTCTCTTAACAAGCTACACAGCATCATGAATCTCCAGAGAAGGGGAAATTATATGGAAGGTTTCTGAAACTGAGCTGGCCATGAAATCTTTCCTCCCTCCTCCCCAGGAAATATCTTATATTCCCCGGAACATGGTTTGGGAGTTGCTGAAACAGGGTAATCTAAGTTTTGTTCTGACCTCAGCAATGTGAAACATGCAACCAACAAAGGCAGCATCTTTCCTTTTCTCCTTAAGTCAGTAACAAGATACGAGGGTTTGGGGGATGGTTTTTTTTTTTTTTTTTTGGTCTTGCCAGAATTCTTTATTTATTTACATTAAAAAAGAAAAAAAATACATGTATATAAAACCACCAACAAAGGTTTCACTCTCCTTTGTGTTAACAGACTTCAGACTCAGCTTTTACCTTGCTGGAGGGAGAACTTAATTACTTACAGGTTTTTCTAGAAGAGTCCTCAGTTCAACCCTACCACAGTTTACACTGCAGCCCACATTACAGAACTCCACTGGCATTTGGCTCCTCGGCGTCCCTCTTTAGAGTGGTAACGCTGTGCTTCCAATGATATACACAGAAAAGTTTAGGAAATACCAGCTGCTCCAGACGGCATGGATCAGAGACTGAGCCCCTCCGCCCTAAAATTTACACAAAGCATTTTACCCCCTGCCCACCCGGGAAGGGTGGCAGGAGGGGCGATTTCCTGGCACTCAAACCAATTGTGTGCATCCCCTCTCCGGTATCAGGGGCCAAAAGGTCAGTGCTTATAAGTGAATTCCTCTGGAAAATAGGGGCCTCCAGAAGGGGCCCTGGGGTGTCAAAGAAACTGGAAAAGACCAGGCAGATTCTCACTCCCAGAAGGAAAACGTCAGGAAAGAAGCACATTTCTTTCCAAAATTGCTTATAAATGGTTAGCCAACAAATTCCGGCTTGTTCATGATTTATAAGTGAGCCCGCCAAGTCCAGAAATGACAGGCTTCTCCGGTGCACCTTTCCCCACGCACAAATAATTGGTACCTGAAGCCCGCCGCCCACTTAAGAGGCCGGCTCTGCAACCGCGCATGCGCGGTCTAAACGCCAGTGGCGCCAAGAGTGATGCTTCTGATGGGCGTAGGTAAGATGAGACCCAGCGGCCCCTCCACTTGCTCCCTCCCTCTGTGCAAAGAGGCGCTCCACTCCCAACCAGAGCCCCATCAAGGCCAGACTGTGCCCTCAGTGGACAACGGTCTTTCCCTTCCCTGGATGGGCCTCAAAACCAGTGTTTCTAAAGAATACTAGAAATGGCGACACCTCCCCCGCAGTAAAAACACTTTTATGGATGACTAATCAGCAATAAAGCTGCAGATGACCTGTCTGCAAAATCTTCAGTGCCTGGAGATCTAAATTACTCTCATCTTTCTCCCCTAAAAATTAGGTATAATATAATTTCAAGCAATGCAAGAGCAATTTCTCCCTTCATTGGATATCAAGCTCAAGATGTTACAGAAAAAAGAAATAGCTTTTACCGCTGATATGAGAAATTTAAAAGAGAGACAAGTGTGAGCAAACAAAAGCTGTCACATCAAATACTGTGGGGGGAAAAAAATCTAGAAAAAATGCCAGAAATGCTCAAGTCTAAATAAAGTCATTTATTTGTTATTTTAACCCCTTCACCGTCAGAGTTACTGGCAGGCTAGTTAATTCTCCGCAGGTGGGACTAACTGAAGACAGCTCTCTTGTGCTTATAAAAAAAAAAAAATCATTGTATTGCAGCATGTTTCTCTTAGTTCTCTGAAATCGCAAAGGGTTTCCAAACAGAAACAGGATGGCACTCTTGCCCCTCTGTGGGTATCATTTCTTCAGAGAATTCAATCTCATCCAATTTCCACCACATTAAGCAAAAAATCCAGACCATGAGGTCTCAGAGGGCAGCAGCCACACATGCTGTATGCTTCTGGTAGCCGGTAGGTATCTGGTAGAATGTGGTGGCAATTATTTCTTGAATTTTGTATTCTAAACGTGCAACTCAAATGTAAGATGCTTTCTGTATGGGGCTGGGGGGGGGGGGGGGGGGGTACTCTATGAAGTCCCCCCCACCACCACCACCCAGAAGGAAACGTGGAGAAAACGCAGACTGGAAATATTTGGGGTTCATCCCTTGCTTCTTTTTGGCCACGTTCATAAGCTCATATCCTCAGTCAAGATTATAGGCTTTCATTAAAATTGAGAAAGATAAAGTTGGAAGAATACTGCTACTGAAACTCTACGGACATGGAGTATTTCCAATTCACTGAGGACTCACTTTGTGCGCTACCGTGGACCTGGGGTGGGGTAAGTCACAGCCGCCATCCTCAAAAAATGTGCCCCATTTGAAAAAGAAAAAATATATAAAGTCATATTTAAAACAATGTAAAATAAAATTAAGATATTCACATTTAAAAATCTACCTTCCTCCACATCTCACTCACTCCCCGCCCAACATGGTAAAGTTTCTGTCTCCAGTGAATTCCTTTGGCACTGGTTTCCAGGCCCCCCCCCAACTGAGAGACTTCCACAGACCCAGCTCATACCACGGCCAGACGGAGCCCGTCAGCCCAGCACCAAACCCCCCAAAGTCACCAGGCCCCCTCACCTCTGCAGCCCTGCGCCCTGAGGCCTCCCCTTCACCAAACACCATCCTGGTTTCCCACTCTTGCAGCTCACGCCCACCCCACAGACCAGGGCTCCCCCCTCTCCTGACCACAGCGCACCCGTGCCAGTCCAGCCCCTGGCGGGGTCCGCATCTGACCGCCCTGCTAGTGACATGAACACCTTGCAGGCAGGGACCCAGCTACTTTGCCTTGGAAGCCCCAGGGCCTCGTACTGGGTGTGAGGCAGGGCAGATCCTCAAAGTGGGGCTGAGGGAGTGATGCTTCATCTATCCACCAAAGGCATTTAACAGGTGATGTTAGCTTTCAAGGAGCTTTCCTGGTGGCTCCGAGGTAAAGAATGTGCCTGCAGTGAAAGAGAGAGCGGATTTGATCCCTGGGTTGGGAAGATCTCCTGGATGAGGGCATGGCAACCCACTCCAGAATTCTTGCCTGGAGAATTCCGTGGACAGAGGAGCCTGGTGGGCTAGAGTCCATGGGGTCTCAAAGAGTCAGACACGACTGAGCAACTGGAGCATGCTGGCATGTTAGCTTTCAAAGTGAACCTGGATTAACGTGGTGCTATTGGTGCTTTTGAACTGCGGTGTTGGAGAAGACTCTTGAGAGCCCCATGGACTGCAAGGAGATCAAACTAGCCTATCCTAAAGGAAATCAGTCCTGAATATTCATTGCAAGGACATATGCTGAAGCTGAAACTCCAATACTTCGGCCACGTGATGCGAAGAACTGACTCAATAGAAAAGACCCTGATGCTGGGAAAGATTGACAGCGGGAGGAGAAGGGGACGACATAGGATGAGATGGTTGGATAGCATCACTGACTCGATGGATATGCCTGAGCAACTTTACTGATGATTTTCTTTCTTTCTTTCTTTTACCGATGATTTTCAAAGTTATTCACAAATATGATGAGCAAGCAGCGCACATAGGCGTCTCCCCCCCAAAAAAAGACAGACTCCTTGGGCCCATGTAACCATTTCTCCATACTCTCAACCCACCCCCCGCCACCCATGTCCATCCCATCGTGCTGTGCCTTTATTCTAGGACTTTCTAGGCTGTTCCTTACCTTCTGCAGTGGTTCCTCCGTGGTCCCAGGGGCCTTGTGATGACTACTTGCTTCTCCGACATGCTCCATCTTGAGATCCCTGGGCATCACGAAGGAGCCGGGCTGAGGGGCCCTCCTGGGCGCGATGGGACCCTCCTGTGCGCGGAAGGACTCGGGGAAGCAAGGGCAGCGCAGCCACGTGTTCGCCGCACACACATTCTGCTGTGGGTTTCTGCGTAGGAGGCCGAACAAGGCACGCGCTCTCTGAAAGTCTAGAATTTGTGGTTTGTGTTATCTCACAACTTCATATTTGGAAGAGGTATTTTAATTTCTTCTGAGTTGTGAATAATTATGTAATTCTGCCACCTTCTTAAAGCTAAGACGTTTCAGACTGACTCCTGTCCTCGGGGGCTGACAGCCTCAAGGGAACTTGGCTTTTTTCCCTTGGGTTCTGAGCAAGTGTGTGCCAAACAAATTCTTTAGTCCGTTAAAACAACGGTTCATGATGGAGAGCCATCCTACACACAGGAGTAAAGTCCCTCTTCCCTCTCAAAATTAATCCTCAGAAATCACCACTGAAAAGCAAACACGGCTTGCACTCACCGCGGAGGCCTCTTTCTGAATTGTTTCCCTTCTACTGCAGTTTTTGGAGCCGCTGAGTTTCTCAAAGTTCTGTTTCCCCCTTGTTTGTAAATTAGCTGTGTGTTCTTCGAAATTTGCCTGTGGGTCTTCTTGATTTTTCTGCAGCTGTTAAAGAACCTAGGGAAAAGTGAAAGAAGGTTGCATTAGCAGATGCCATTGTGATGGTCTCCGTGGTCTACTGATGTATTTTCTAATCAGTACCTAAATGGCACTTCTCTGTCAAATGCCTCCTATTCTAGACTCATCCCTGTCAATCACTCGGTCACTTGGCCATCAATAGTTTGAGCATCTGCACCACCCCACACCCTGCTCTGAGCACTGGAAAGGCAGAGCAAGCAGGCAGATGAAGTCAGGCACCCCGAAGGGCCATGTGAAGTTTATACTGCAGTATCACCCATAGCTGACTCCCAGACATTCACACCAGAAGGTGAACACTTCATTAAATACAGACAAGGGATTGTTAGTCATTAGGATGCGCTTATCTTTTTTCCCCCAGGGCTTAAGTTTTTTTTTCTCTCGTATGTATTTCATATTCCTAGCTGGAGGAATATCAAAAGAATCTGAATATCACCATCTGGAAGTTATGCCATGGACTCCAGTGGGCAGGATGAGAGCTGAGTTTCCCTTCTTCCTTTAAAAGTGTATTTCTTCTGCTTTGAAATGAGCACAAACATGTCTGATTCCCTAATGAGACCAACCCAGAGCCTAAAAGTCACAGAGGCATCACCTCCCACCCCTCACCCACCCAGGTTCTTGGGACCCTTCCAATGTGGAGGGATTGTTTGGGGGGGGGGGTTCCTTTGAGGATATTTGATGATCAGTGACTTCACTGAGGAGCTTCCCAGGTGGCACTAGCAGTAAAGAACCCGCCTGCCAGTGAAGGAGAGGTAAAAGACCCAGGTTTGATCCCTGGAGGTGAGCATGGCAACCCACTCCAGTATTCTTGCCTGGAGAATCCCATGGACAGAGGAGCCTGGTAGGCTACAGTCCACAACAGATACAACTGAAGAGACTTAGCATGGATGCATGTGTGACTTCACTTAACCACTAAATCTAATGTGCTGAAATACACAAAAGTCAGAAATGCAGTTACCTGGCTACTCCCGCAAATAGTCTGTTGGTCTGTCCCAAGGATTGTGTGAGGAAGTCCCAGGGAGCCATTCTGGTCTCAGTAGCATGGAACCAGCTATCAGTATTTCATTAAGTGTCACAAACAATATTTCATTAAGTGTCACAAACAATCTGCTTGTAGTGTGGGTCCCATCCCTGGGTCGGGAAGATCCCCTGCAGAACGGAATGGCTACCCACTCCAGTATTCTTGCCTGGAGAATTCTGGGGAGAGAGGAGCCTGGCAGACTACAGTCCATGGGGTCTCAAAGAGTCAGACACCACTGAGCAACTTTCACTTTCAAGCGTCACTGCCCTTCACTAGTATTCCCCAAATTGGTGTTTAACTTGCTCCCTTTGAAACTCCTGGCATCCTTGAGAAATGGAGGATTGTTCTTTGCAAATGTTCACTTTTTCTCTCCCTCTTATAACGCTTGCACATTGATAAGTCTCTTCCTATCCATCCAGAAGTGTTTTTATTCTCTCTTGACTTGGTTTTCTCAGGCTCCTGAGAAAGACTCTCTCAACACTCGGCAGGTAAGAGGGCATGATAAACCTAGAGTGCTTTTTTAGTTAAAGTGGTATTTTTAACTCTCCCCTATCAAGTGTTAACTCACAGTTCTTATGTCTGTAGGGTCTGTATTTATAACATTAGTTCTCCCTCACATGTTCACAGGACAAATCCAGTCTGGAGACATCTTCTGATCATCATGGGTGAGTGTTTCTGACTTCCATGGCTATAGCTGGCTCCCTGTCAACAGAATTGTGTTTCAAGCAGAAGTTCAAAACACTTACCATTGTGACATCTGCCCAGTAGTCCTAATTTACACCCATTCATAGTTATTATTACAGACTTGGTAACGTAATAAGCTGCCGTTGAAAACAAAGACTCCCCAGATTCCTCTTTAATATTGAGAAGCACGCACGCTCTTGAAGTCTAGCATCTGGTGTGAATCCCCCCTCAATGGTGGACGAGGCATTTAGCCTCATGGAGCTGCAGCTTCCTCGGCTATAAGATGGAGATAATAAGAGGCCCCGTCTCACCAGATGGAGACCAGAAATTGATGAGTCAACACAGGCAGAGCCCTCAGAAGAGTGTCAGGCCCAACCATGAAGTCAGCTCTCATTAAATCCCTTTAGCCTCAAGGCTAAGTAACTGAAGACACCTCCGGGACAGACAGTAGGAGCTGCAGAAGAATTGAACGTGACACCTTATGAAAATGTAGCACATAATCCTGCTTCAGAGCTTCCATCAAATATGTTGTCTTTTCAGGACCTACCATAGAGCACAGAGAATGCTGCTCAGTATTCTGTAGTAACCTATCTGGGGAAAGCATCTGAAAAAGAGTGGATGTACGTATAACTGAATCACTTAGCTGTGCACTTGACACTAACACAACACTGGAAATCAACTATACTCCAATACAAAGTAAGTATAATTTTTTTTAAAAGTGTCTCTTCATACACAAGATTCATGTTGAGAGTCTGTCTACACACACAAACTGCATTCAGTATTACCCAGATGAAATCAAACAACTGCTCATTAACAGTGGTTTATACAAACTGGTTTATATTTGTGGATCCAATCCTCAACCTATTTTTTTTTTACCGTATTTATCTCAAATATGTCATCAGAAGGGTTTTTAGTGGACAGATTTGAACCTAAGATATAGCTTGAGAGTAAATCAATCGTATATATTGTGTGTGTTTCCTAAAATATGAGGCATGTAAGATATTTTAACACTGGGCCTATTCTATTGTCTATAGATAAAGACCCTCGACATTTACAATATTATCTTGCCCAGTTATCAGGGATGAACTGGGGAGGGAGGCATCTGAACGTAAAAAAAAAAAAAAAAAAATTCTGGCCCATAATGTGAGAAGTTGGAAGGGCCTTTTTGTGGCAAAGCAATTTATGATGTGAGCTGGCTTTCTGTAATCTCCAGCACAAAGATGACCCCAAGGTAGGAAACGCTCTTGTGAAAAACGGCACACTCAGCGAAATAGATGTACAGAAGGCAGGACTGGACGAAACATGTTCCTACTTCTATCAGACATCCAATTGTTTTATCTCCCTCCGGCACTTATAAACAAGTAACTATTTCAGAAAGCAATTGCCTCCTTTTCAGCTAGGATGTGGCATTATTATACTCAGCAGCCTCGTTCTCCCACCCGGCTTCTAAAGGGGAATGGCAGGTCATTGCAACGAACCTGGGTGACATGAGCTAGTCTTCACACAACAGAAGGGAGAGGCAGTTCTGCAAGGTCCCAAGGCTGTCCAAGGCCCAGGGCTGGGGGGCAGATCTCCTCTGTGGCCCACGTTCCTCCCTTCCACCCGGCTCGTGACTCCCTCTGCCAGGGCCTAGCTGGCACCAGAACCACTTGCCAGGTGCACCTGGGGTGCTGGCCCTGGGGCCCCGGCTGCCCCCTTCCACCCGGAGGAAGAGGAGGGAAGCCCTCCCCCCGCCTCCCGCAGGGGCGCAGGGGGCACGGCTCTGAGCCCCCATCTCCCAAGCCTCTCCTAAACAGCCCCCTGCTCTTCTGCAGCTGACAGAGAGGCATGTGCCCACACGCAAGAGCTCTCAGTTTCCATGGTGGTGTTTATGGTCATTCCCAAGCAGATATAGAGCTGATGCCAGCCCTGCTGTTATTATCTGGCAGCCCACAGAATGTATAGGAAATGCATAAAGTGGCTGGATACACTAAATGTGCAGACAAACAGACACATAACCCAATAACTTCCACGGGCAACCAATTTTTAAATCTCTAGGACTCGGATATGCAAAATGTACATAATTATATTAACTGATTATAAGTAGTACTCTTGACGTGCCATTTGGGAAACAAATATATATCACTCATAAGACAAATAGGGCGTCCCTGAGGCTCAGACCATAAAGAACCTGCCTGCAGTGTAGGATCCCTGGGTCGGGAGGATCCCCTGGAGAAAGGAATGGCAACCCACTCCAGGATTCTTGCCTGGAGAAGTCCACGGACAGAGGAGCCTGGTGGGCTCCAGTCCATGGGGTTGCAAAGAGTCGGATACGACTGAGCGACTAACACACATCAGACAAATACACAGTCACCTTCATTCTCCTAGTTTTGTTTTTGTGAGAGAAAGTTTTCTCCTTAACGACTGATTATAAACATGATCACACACTCGATTACCTGTTGTGCTGTGTCGGGCACCACGCTGAGTCCATCTGGGTCACAGATCTTACCCAGCGCAGCTCGAGGCTGCCGAGCCTGGCCAGGCCTGAGGCAGTCAGCTTCCAGGGGCCAGGCTTCCAGTTCCTAGGCGATACCCATATTCTCTCTCTCTCATTTTTTTTAAATTGCACTGATTTTTTTTTTTAAGATTTTTTTGATGTGGATCATTGTTAAAGTCTTCCTTGAATTTTCTATAATAGTGCTTCTGTTTTATGTTTTGGTTTCTTGGCCTCCAGGCATGTGGGATCTGAGCTTCCTGACCAGGGATGGAACCCACACTGAAGGTGAAGCTCCACCCAATCCCTGAACCACCAGGGAAGTTCCTGTATTCTCTCTCATTCAACATCTTTCTCCTTAAGTTCCAACAGCTTCGCCACTTATTATTTAACTCACCTTCTCCACAATGCTGAAGAGCAGAAACGAGTCGATACTTTTTGCGTAAGGAAGGTGCTTTTCCCTGTCCATCCTGACCTATAGGGAACCACATGAAATATAAATGTGTATTACAGATTAGCAATAGATCCACATAATATAATTAACTTAAAAACTACTTCAAACAATAGAGGAATGAGTTCCCATCCTCAGTAGATCCAATAATTGGTTGAAGTTTATTATTGGTCAATACAAGCATTGGACTCTGGGAGGAAGAATAAAAAGTATAGAATCCACTATTGTCCCCAGAAATCCAAGTTGGGTTGAAAGATAAGCTGCATATTCTAGAAAGTTCTGTCTTTTGTGAAGACAGATCTAGCACTAGAAGCTCCCTTATTAAAAAGGGAGGAAGAGAAGATGAAACTATTTCTTAGGGGATAAAAACTACTTGATGGGTTTCCCCAGTGAATCAGCAGTAAAGAATCATCCTGCAATGCTGAAGCCACAGAAGAGTCAGGTTCAATCCCTGGGTGGGGAAGATCTCCTGGAGGAGGACATGGCAACCCATTCCAGTATTCTTGCCTGGAGAACCCTATGGACTGAGGAGCCTGGCAGGCTATAGTTCGTAGAGTTGCAAAGAGTTGAACATGACTGAAGCGACTGAAGACACACACACACACACACACAAACTACTTGGAAAGTGTGGGTGGGTGAGAGGGGACCTTTTCTCACGGCCCAAGAAAAGGCTAGAGCCACTTAGGACATACAGCGATCTCATTTGCTCCCAGGAATAAACAGAAACTTAACTGAGCCAAAGAGCAGATGCAACTTTGCATGAAGCTAGTAGCTAATATTGCTGATGCTTTACTGTTTTTAACATGCTATAAAATGGCTTTTGCCTTTTAAAAATTTTTTCACAAATTACACTACTTTACAGCATTGCAAATCAATTATATTTCAGTAATTTTTTTTAATTGCACTGCTTTAACCTTAAACCCATTGGGTTAGACATTTCTCCTTTTCTTTAGGTGGGCAGCATTTGAAAAATCATTTTAAAATCAATGTCTGATTTCTCCAACATCAAAGCTGCTACCCTGGGTATCTGTCTTTGAGCGTGATGAGCCTCGTGCTGAATACTGATTTGCAGTGTGGTTCACCGTGCAGACTTAAATTCTCCTTCCCACAACTTTATCTGAGAAGCCTGACAATGGTGACAATCACAGGACTAGTTTTATTGGGTAAAACTATTCTATCTGCAATTTACTCTGACAGGCTCCACAATTTTTAAGTGCAATTAAACCCTGAGAATTTGCCCAGAAAAAAAATAAAACTTCTACCACATAAAAAAAAAAATTTAAGAGAAAAACAGACGAATTGAACAACTAATTACTAACCAGTTGCTCTTTTAAAAAAGAGAAAAAGGAAAGGAAAAACATTCAGCTGAGCCCACAAATCAACTTCACTGTATAGACTGGGAGCTCTCTGGGGCTGAGAGGGAGTGACAGGCAAGCTGACCAGCTGCTTCGGCCACTGCTGCCATCCACAGCTTCAGAGCAGAAGACTCTTTCACACTCCAGGAGGGAAAACAAAATAGGAAACTTGCAGGGAAACACCTTCAAAAACTGTGATCACTTGATTCCCAAGTGATAGCAAGCTCATATCACAGCAAGCTGAGACCAGCTGGCTCCAGAAAAGTGGGAGCACCTTGGTCCCCACTGCTGTCCTCATATTGCCGCCTCCTTCCTCATCCCAGAAGTGGTACCCAAGCAAGCCAGCTGCAGCCACCTGCGATAGCGATAGCCGGGTACATTCATCAGCATGACTGATCCCACTGTTGTCCCAGAAAAGGACCATATCCCTACCAGCTCTTGGCATTCCACAATGGAAATCTTTATTCAGCAGGAAGGTTAGCTGGACATGGAAATAAGCTATCCAGGTAACATCTGGGAAATGAGATTTTTCTTTTAAGAGATGTCTAATTATACCTAACGTTGCAGAACATTTTATAGAAAACATGAACTTAATTCAGTAGAACATCTTCAATGAGATGACCTCAGCCTTCACAATTCTTGTCATCTGGAGTATGTAACTCAAGGACTGCAGACAAGCCCAGGAGAAGCCAGCCCCTGCCACCCGACTCTGGCCCTCACCACTACCATCCCACCCTCTCCCCCAGCCCCCAAAGGGCGTACTGTGCTCCAGTCAGCATTGTAGTGGTCTCCCCTCCTCCTGGAATGCCCCATGCATAGCACTGAATATTCCCTCCGTGGGGCCCCACGACCTCTTCCACCACTAACACTCAAATGACCTTCCCTGACCTTCCCCACCCAGCCCCGAACTCGCTGGGAGCCAGGACCAGCACCTCACAGGGCGCCTTGGCACACGGCAGGGATCCTGGAGGTGTCTGCTAAAGGTTCTTTTCCATCTGAGCCACTGAAACAGCAGGTGTTAAAAGGCCCCCGGGGTCACACGATGCTGCTGAAGAATCTGCCCTGAAGAGCCTCCCTCTGAAGACTGCAAGCCCCAGGAGGGCAGAAACTGTGCCCATCCACCCGCCTGTGCCCCTGTGCCTGGGCCATTAGATGTTCAACAAAGGTTCACTAAACAGGTGAGTTAAAGACAATGCACAGAGATGCTGAGCTGAAGCCAACCAGGCCCACGAATAAGAATCTGGAAACATCCCCCCGTATCAAATGTTGGGAAGTTGTCCATCAGGTGCTTCTCTTCTGTGGTGGTGTTCAGTCGCTCAGTCGTGGGGCTCTTTGCGACCCCATGGACGGCAGCACGCCAGGCTTCCCTGTCCATCACTATCTCTCAGACTTTGCTCACACTCGTGTCCACTGAGTCAATGATACCATCCAATCATCTCATCCTTTGTCCTTCTCCTCCTGTCCTCAATCTTTCCCAGCATCAGGGTCTTTTCCAGTGAGTCGGTTCTTCACATCAAGTGGCCAAAGTATTGGAGCTTAAGCATCTGTCCTTCCAATGAGTACCTTCTCTTCTGTGAGTACCTTCTCTTCTGTGAGTACCTGTTAAAGTCTACAGACCTTGAATGTGCTGCAATCCAGGATAGACTTATGCAGGGCAAGTAGTCACTCAATCATGTCTGACTGTGGCCCTGTGGAATGTAGCCCACCAGGCTCCTCAGTCTATGGAATTCTCCAGGCAAGAATACTGGAGCGTGTTGCCATTTCCTTCTCCAGGGGATCTTCCCAGCCCAGGGATGGAACCAGTGTCTCTTACGTCTCCTGCACTGGCGGCTAGGTTCTTTACCACTAGCACCACTTGGGAAGCCATGCAGATCAAGCTGCAGGGAAAGAGATCACCCAATCGACTTGCAGCTGAGGATGGAGGCCTGGTGATGAAGTGGGGTCCCCGGAGACCCTACCATCCCTTCTCAGGCCATCTGTTTCCTCTCCCTGGACTGTCCTCTTCATGCCTCACCCCACAGGATCCCTTGTCTTGATCAATGCCAACTAATGCCACACCTCTCCAAGGAAGTGTCCCCTCCTTGCCCAGCCTGGATGATGGGTTCCCCAAAATTGTCCCATGTTGCTGCATCTAACACAGCCCCTCTGCCATGTAACCAGTGCTCTGAGGCTCTCACCAGGCCTTGGGCCAGGAAGAGGCAGAGATGATTTCTTCTTGACCTTGACAGCAGTGACTTCACCGCCCTGCCTCAGGCAGTTTCGGGATTTGCAGCTCCCAGTCCTCTAGCCCACTGACCTTCTGTGTAACCCGGCTCTCTCTTCTCCTGTCCACACCTTCAGCTGCTTCCCCACCCAAATCTTAATCATGCAAAATGAAAGAGATGCTTCACTCGAATAAAGAGCTGGACACAACACCTTGAGATCTTCAGTTGAAATGGCACTGACGTGAGAAATACAAAGAAGTTTAGATGAGAATATTGCCATGGGGCAGACATGGCCTCTGCTCCTTTGGAGGTGGTTATTGGCCAGGTTTTAAAGCTTTCTATGGTCGGTGCCTCCAAGCAGCATGTGCTTAAATATATATGGTTGCTCAGTCACTTCGTCATGTCCGACTCCTTGCGACCCCATGAACTGCAGCATGCCAGACCTGTGGGTGAGAGATCAGGCGTAATGCCACCACTTCAACCACCTTTCTCGAGTCCATCTTGCTTCTCTGGAAAGTTCCAGGACACACCAGGAGAGTGCCTGTCAGCTGATGCTTCCCGTCCGCCCCCCTCCCAGCCCTTTCAAACCCAGGGACTGCGGGCCCCCTCTCTTCCTCTTTCATGAGTGTAAGCAGACATCTCCAGGACCCCCAGGTCCTAAACCCAGGACCTCTGGAATGCACACAGAACCCCAATAACCCCCCTAAAAGCCACATCACTAAGACAGGACCATTTTTGCTTTGAGCTACTGAATGGGGTCCCGAAGTGTTGCCTGCAAAACTGAACCCCGGCCTCGTAGATCGGTCCTCTCTCCAGGGCTTCCACTTTACCTGCACGTGTTCCTGTAGGTCAAACACTTGTGTCCAGCACAACGTAAAATAGAATGCAGACTTCTGACATTTCCAAGAGGGCACACAGTCTGTGTGCGTTTATTAATAATTGGCCCTTAAGGGCCTAAAAGAATGCAATCAAATTCACAAACAACTGGTGACTTTTCCTACAAAACAAAAATGTCACCATTAAAATATACATCCCAGTCCCATTTGAATCGGAATGGTGGCTGTTTCTGTGCAAAGTATGTGTATCTCTTGAAACAGCTGATGTTTATTAGAACTTAATATAGGTCACACCAGCTTACTGAGTCAAAACTGGATGGGATAGTAGGGGTTATGTAACCAAGCCTCTCCCCGCTGCAGGAGGTCTGCCCACATGCTGGTGGCCAATTTCCATCATTTTAAGGACCTCTTAGTACCTTAGGTTCTATTAGTCATGTACAGTTTATTTTCGTTCGAAAGGTCAGAGGCAAATGAAGTCACTTGCTGCTTTTTTCAGCCTCGGAGACTTTCCCGGCAGGGGGAGGAATGAGACATGGCCATCGGAGGTCACCTGCTGTCCCTGGTGCTTTGTCCAGCCAGGAGGATGCCTCCGGCTCCCACTCCCCTACCTACAGCAGGACACGTGGAAGAGGACCTTGGAAATGTCAGAACAAGCTCTCCTGATACGCTAAGCGTGGTCTTTAGTCCATATGTTACTGTGAATTCTCTGAAAATATATAAGCATTCTCTAAACAAAGACTAATGCTAGTTAAAACTGACCCACGTGAAAGGATCTTGAAGGATCCTCGAAATCGGCACCTTTTTTATTTAAGAAAAAGAGGCAGGGTTCTGTAATCCAAGACCACAGTCCCTCACATGCGAGCCCCAAACTCAAAAAAAAAAAAAAAAAAAATGAAAATCAAACTTTGTTTCCTAAATTTAGCACACAATCCTGACGTGAGGTTATTTATAGTCTCAATTTTTTATGCCTCTGAAAGTGAAGATGCATATGTTTACTGTGAAAATGCCCACAGGTTTGATAAGGGAACACTCCCAGGCTATAGGATTCCATAAGACACAGTCTTTACGCTGTACCCTCCTTTTAAAATGTGAGAAAAAAAAAAATCTAAGCTCTGGAAAACAACAAGTCCCAAAGGTTGTGTAAACCAGTAAGGTCAAAATCGGATGCAAGGGGCCTGGTGGTTGATCAGGACAAAGATGCCCCGAAATTACTGTGAATAACAAGGGTGATATTTAGGACTAAAAGGATGACCTGGCCTTGACCCACAGCTGTCCTTAACAAACCCCCAACACACGGCACCCATTCACCCATCACCAGCCCAAGATCCCAATATTAACCCTGCGTTGAACCATCAAGTCTCAAGGAGGAACTTTTGCCTTGTTTTATTTCTCTCTTTCTCCGTCCCCTAGAAGGACACCGAGTGAACCCATTTAAAAGGAACCTACATATTTTCTTAAACGGCTGATTGGGACAAAATCATAACACTGCAACTGTTCTCAAAAAACATAATGCGAGCAGAATCCGCATTTCATCCGGTCTAGAGCCCCAGTCAAAGAGACACAGGAGAAGAAGGTTGGGGATCTCACAGGTGGCAAAGACTTAAACCATCCAGCCATTTGTTGAAACTGCTCCTTGGGGAGAAAGAGAAGAAGTTTTTCAAAGTTTTTAAAACAGCTCGCAGAGAGTGCCACATGTGCATTTTAACCTGGTGATCCTCCAGTCCAGCTGTGTGTCTTGTATACCTGCTTTTTCTCTTGATGTACCTTACTGTTCCTTGCAAACGTTGAGCTGAGAATCTGATACTCCAGAAAGAAGTTCAGTGTCTTGGTTGAACGGAAAGACTCTTGGGATAGCCTCCTTCTGAACCATGCTGCATCTCTAAATGCTAACACTCCTGGTTTGGTTAATTTGATTAAGTGGTGAGAAAAGACACCTTGCTCACAGATGGATTGTTAACACATTTGCACTGAATTCTAAATGTTAAATGTTCCTCCTTCAAGTTCCTGAGTTATTTTCATCATTTTCATTTCTTCTTGTACCGCAGCAATTGCTCATCTCTTTGTTCCCTGAAGAGTTTTGAAGGTGCCTTTGTTCGCATCATTCTTTATCTTGTTACTTTAATCACGCACGCTATTGACCAGACTGGAATTCGTCATCCTCTTCAGAGCCAGGCCTGTCGCCAGGTTTTCGGCAGGATCCAGAGTAAGGCATGCACTTTGAAGAAGGTGCCTGTCTTCAGCCTCTCCGGGCACATGGGGACAGTCCTGAATGGCACTTTTCCTAAACAACTCAGGACTGCAGGGATGAACAGTCTCGTTCTAGAAGCCAGCCCCAGCAGCACCGCGTGCAGGTAACCTGCCAGAAAACGAGACATCGCAGCACTTTTGGAATCTTTTGCTTGTTTCACAGGGATCTGCTCCTTTTCTTGGGCAAATCAAGACTACCCAAAGCAGACTCAACTGTTTGGATTTCTGGATTTGCTTTTGTTTGTTTTTCTTCCACTTTCTCTTGCAGTCCAACTGAGTCATATTCACTTTTTTAAACAGTTTAAGATTCCATTGAATTTAAAGAGTTTTAAGTTGTTTGAAAAAGTCCAGGGACGGGTCCTCTGAGTTCAGCGCAGAAGCATGTGGACTTTGTTCACACCTCCAGGGACCAGGCGCACCCGTGGCTGCCCACCCAAACCTGGTTCTGATTTACACATCCACGTGCGGCTGACTGATGGACGGCCCACTCTGTGGGTGCGGGGTGCTGACAGAACCCCGGGACCAGTGTAAAATGATACCTAGCCTCGAGGCGCCTCTGTCGTTTTCTCTCCTACAGGAAACATCCCCGAAGTACAGCTATGGCGAGAGAGGAAGCACAAGGCAATGAAACGCAGACTGGAGCACAGGGCCCTCCCTAAAGGCCGAGCAGAGGAGGCCCCCCGTTCCAATGGGGGCCAGGTCAATGTGGCTGTGATCCTGGTCTGTCTGAGAACAGCAGTCTGGACAGACAGACAGGAAGACGGAAGGTGTGTCAGGTGGGGAGAGGGAGTGAGGGACGCCTAACAGGCAGAACCAAGAAAAGCTGGTTAAGAATCAGGGAAGAAACTGATACGGCCGGCCAAGGCAGGAAGTGTTGAAGGCCTGGCTAGAAAGTGCCCGAGGTTGGATCTGTGTGTGTGTGTGTGTTGGGGTGGAGTGGGGGGTGGGGTGGAGGCAGGGTAGCCTGCTGCCCTTTCTAATCACCCAGGTGGGGAGAGGTCCCTATGTATGCATGCAGAACGGATGTAAAAATCCAGTAGGCTGGCTGAGGGTGCAGCGTGCATGCAAAGCAAGAGGTCAGAGGCCAGGGGGCTGAGCCTGGAGGCAGCATGGCCAAGATGGGCCATGAAACAAGAGAAAAGGAGGCAACTTTGAGAAAAAGCTCCAAATAATTGATGACAAATACAAACTATCCAAAAATTAAACATCCTTGGCATGCTCATTTTTAATTATTCCCCTTATAGATTTAGCAAACAACCCATCTGCCTGCAACTGAGGCTCAGCGCACTACCACCTAAATTGTAATTCTTTCATTATGAACCCATCACCTCTTCTCCCTTCCTGAAATTAATCCAGAAACTGCCAGATACAAACGTCTATTTAATAAAATGAACATCTGTGATGATACACCAGGAGCAAAATCCTAATTGTTCTAAACCCGGCATTTTGCTTTGACAATCAAGTACCTGTTTTATTTTTTAAATACTTTCTCTCTTCAAAACACCTGCTTTCTTTACACATTGACTTCTAAAGGAAGAGATTAATTTTTATTGGCAAGAACAGAAAAGTTAGTGTCAACAACAAGAAAGGAGAAGCTATGCTCTATAGAAGAGCTGCCTGCTACATAAAATAATACCCAGGAATATCAACCCAAACCCACAGATCCAAGTGAGGCCAACCCCGTTTTCCCACATGAAAGCCACAGTGTGATAAACCTCACTCCCTTGGAATCGAGCTGCAGTTCTTATTGTACCCATGCGGCTACAGGACCCCAGTCCAGGGTGGCTGGATTTCCATTAGAATTGCCTGTCCTTCACTGCCTTCTCCTCCACCCCTCCTGCGCCCAAGTCCAGTTATTCAGTGAGTTATAATTTGGCACTAAAATTCAATTAAGCTGAAACTTTGGTCATACGTGGTCTTTATCTCAGCAAAGCATAATTTCTTTGACCCATTTTCCAAACATCAGCTGATCGATTTGAAAGCGGACAGAGGTAAAAGTTGATTTCAATCGCGCTCACATTTGTAGAAAGTGGCTGGAGAAAAGAAAAAAAAAAACTTTTAAAACTTAAAAAAAAGAAAAACTTCAAATAAACAGGATGGGGAGTTACTTATGAAACTGCTTGAGGTTTTCATAGCCCTTGTCAAACGGAGACCTCGGCCCGCTGGGCAGACTTTAATTAATGTCCACTCCGGCCCTGCAAGCCATTTTCCCAATGGAAATTCCGATGAGAAAGGAAGGAATGCGAGGTTCAAGGCCGCGCTGTTGTTGAGTGGGCTGCGGAACTGGGGACTGAAACCCCGCGGTTCCCCCATGAGCCGCGAAAGTCTGTGGAAGTATTGAGCACCCCTATTGAGGACTGTGGGAGTCTGGGCGGCTTAATGGGATTGTGTTCGGTGCTTCAGGCTGTCCTTTAAAAGATTCCATGGCACCAGCGAAACTCCAATAATAGGGCCTCTCTAATTGCTTTCTGACTTTCTATGAAACTTTCTAAGCTATGCTGACATCCTCGACTACAACGACGGAATTCAAGAGTGGAGAAAGGCGAGACAAAGTGGGTGTGCGGAGAGAAAGCGGTTCTCAGCGAAGCGTGTGGGAGGTGGGGGGTAATTTGGGGGAGGTCCTCGGCAGGCATTGCGGCGGCGCGGGCGGCCGCTGTCCCCGCACGACCCCGGCCCGTCCAGAGCGCGCCCCGGGCGACCCTCGAGGAGAAGCGAGGGAAGCGCGGTCCCGGCGTCCGAGCAAGGTAAGCACTGCGCGGGGATCCTCGGCCCTCGAGCGCGCCCTTTCCGCCGTGCTGGGCCGGCGAGCCAAGACAGGAGGCCGCGGGCCGGCCCCACCGCCCAGGCCTGGTGCTCCCCGTGCGCCAGAGGCCCGACGCCGCCGCCAGAGGCTGGGACCCCGGAGACCCGCCAGCCTGGCTCCAGCCTGGTCCTCGGCCCCGGCCGGAGAGCCCAGCGGGGCTCACCCCGAGCCCGGGAGGCCAGACAGAGCCCAGGAAGAGCGCGGGTGACCTGCCCGGGCCGCCCACGGCGAGGGTCACCCTCCCTCCGAACCACTTGGGGGGTAGCGGCCTTACCCGGGTCCCGGCCGGGCGCTGGGCGTCGGCGGGCAGGCGGCGCGTCCCGGGGACCCTCGGTGAGCCCCGCAGCCGCCCCTTCGATGGGGCGGGGGTAGTTTGAAGGGGCAAAGAGATGGCGGCGGCGGCGAGGCCCAGGCGCCGGCAATCAAAGGCTGGGGACGGCGGCCCGCCGCGTCGCCCCAGGCCAGGCCTGGGGCATAAAGGACCTTTATCCTCGAGTGACACGGCCGGCGGTTTCCCCTGCCTCCCCCGCCCGCGGCCTTAATTGGGGCCGGCTGCTAATGTGATTAAAGGCCAGTTAAATGTTTCTCGGGGCAGACGGTGGGAAGAGACCAAGACCCCCTTCTCCTCCCCGGGGTCACGCCAGGCCCTTGGTCAGGGGGTCGGTGGTGGTGCCAACCCCAGGACGGCCTGGCCAGGGGCCGGCCGATTGTTCACCCCCGGGAGGGGAGGCCGCGGGCGGGCGGACGGGCTCCTGGGGCTTTATGTAAGCCGGTGGGCTTTGGGCCCGGCCGGATTTGGAGATTCTTTTCGCACAGTTTCCATTTTCTGGCCTTTGGAACGGCGCCCCAGGCCCTCGGGGCCCTCCCCCTCCGGTGCCTGGCGCCTGCGGGGCCCAGTCGCCCAGGCCGGCCTGGGGTTTCGGGGCATTGGGGGTCGGCTGGGCTTGAAGCAGGTCGACCTGGGAGTCTCCCGACTGTGGACAGGTCTCTCGGGATGGTGACGCGGGGCTGGCAAATGGTGGCCAAGCAGAGCCCCTCCCCCCGACCCGCAGCGCCCCCGGGCCTAGGTCACGGCCAGGTTCACACGGCCGCGGCGGCGTGGGTGGCCGCGCCCTCCCCGGAGGGCTGGGCGTCCCAGCCTCCAAGGGTCGCGGGGCTGAGAGCAAGTGTCTGCGCCGCGCTGCCCTCCGGCGCCTGCTTCCGATGGGGCCCGCGGGCTCCTGCCCTGCGCCCACAGGTTCTGCGCTCTCCTCCTCTAGCCTGCCCGACTTGACGGAGGCCGTGCGCCCGGGACAGCTCCGGGGCGCCGCGCTAGGGGAAGGTCGAGCCAGTCCCTGCGGCGGCGGAGTGCGATCTCGGAGCCCCGGCTTCCTAGATCGCTCCCTGCTCGTGGCCCTGGACCCGGCCTTGAGCTCACAGGGGTCATTGCTGGGGGAGTGGGGTCCCCGAAAGGCCAAGAGCCCGGCCCAGCTCAGTTCCTACACCTGTGAGGTTGCAAATCCGGAACCAGTCGGGATGGGGAAGGCAGATAAAAAGCTCAGGGAAAGCCAAACGAGTTCGGGGTGTCCCGACAGGTGGCCTTGGCCGTGCGCTTCGGTTGTGGCGGCGGCTCTGGGGCGCACGGGGGGGCGGGGGGGGCCGGGCAAGGCAGGTGGGACCCGCGGCTGGAGCCGAAACGCAGGCCGCGCACCTTCATCCCGTCCCCGCGGGGCTCTCTCCCGCGCCTCCGTGCGCCTCGGAAAAGACCCGAAGGCCGCGCGGTACCCGGGCCGGCGGACAGCGGGAGTACGCCCGGGGGCTGCGGGCAGAGCCGGGCCTCGGGACGAGGGCAAGGTCGTCCGTGACCCTGCCGCGCCGCCGCCGAGAGCCGCGATCCCGCGTCCGGGCAGCTGCCTCGCGGTGCCCACGAGCGACACTTGCCATTTCAAGCACGACACGGTGTTTAAAACTAATGTGAACTAAGCAAGCGTGCTTCCGTAGAAATTTTACAGATCGGTTGTTTACTTTTTCCCCAAATATTCTCTGAAATAGTCGGCCGAACTTTTTCATATGTAACAAATGGCAGGTTGAACAGATCAGATGATATGAAATGAAAAGGATGGCGTTTGAATGTAAGTGGAGTGAAAGCAGACAGTATTTTATAATAATATTTTTTGTCAAAATATATAGTGGCTCTCAAATTTTGTCATGTTCAAATTCTATAATTATTTTATATTTAAAATACACGTTTTGTGTATTTTTCAACCAAAAAGAAAAAAACAAGTAAAAAATTTTAAAAATAGAAGCTGGAAACCAAGAAAAGCCTAAAGAGAAAATGGGCCATGAGGAACCAAAGCCTTTTCCTGATATCCTGTGTTGGGTTTTTTTTTCTTCTTTTTTTCCCTAAGATCCCTAATGAAAATACAAGTGAAAGTAAAATTGTTTCCTATTAAACTAACACGTAGATGTAATTAATTTCGTTCCAGATGGGTCTGAGGGACCTGGTTATTGTAGTGTGCTAAGAAAACACTAGATTCAAGGTGATTTTACTTTCTTCAGCTGCTCGAGAACTGTAAAGAAAAGTAAACAGCTCCAGCCTCCTGATTTTTTTTAAAAAATCTGCTTATTGAACACAGATAAAATTAGAATCATCTTCTACTTGAGATAAAAGTTGCACAGGCAAAATCACCAATTTTTTTTTAACTGAAAAAATATCTGGTTTTGTTTTGTACAAAACAGCACTGTTTCACTATTTCGTAACAAGCTGAGTGACCTTGGGTTTGTTTGAACTACAACTGCCCTTAAATCAGTAACCCCAGAGGTGGTTAAAAAGAAAAAGAAAAAAAATCCATTTTTCAATAATTCATCTTCCATTTGTACTGAAATGGCTTTTCCAGTGATGCTGTTTCAATAAAGGAGTAGCTTAGAGTAAAACAAATAATCCATGTGTTCTTGGTAAATAATTTTCTGTTTCAAAAAACCAAAAGTAAGTTGACTATTGCTTTTTAGGAACAACCTTTAAACTGGACAGGAAAGGGGGAAATGTGTTTTTGTTGTCTCCTGGAAACCCGGGAGAAGATTTGGGATGAAGTTAGTCGCACTGCAGGGTGAGGGGCCCTGCTCTTACACAGCCGGGGGCTTGTTGGACTACCAGGCACACCTTTGTTCACATCTATGCCGACGCGACTCGGACCCCTTATGTGTGTGAGGGTGTGATGGAAGATGGTCAGAGGGTCGGGTGTGCAGGAGGTGCCCCGGGCGTGCAGAACAGACCCACACGGCAAGCCGGGGCACCCTATATCCTGCTGCCTCTGTGTCCACGTTTTGGTCCCATCTGGAGGACCCTCCTCCTCCATTTTATGATGTTTTCTCTCCTTTAAACGCTCTCCGGTGGCCCCCTCAGCAGCCTTGTTGGGGGTCCCTTGGTCATTTTCACAAAAACAAGTGACCAAAGTATGGACCCAGACCCGGGATGCGAGAAACCCCTGGGCTCCCCGGCACCCGGAGAGGCCCAGCCTGATGAGCACAGCCGCCTTTGTCCACATCGAGTGAAGCCACGCGATAGTGCTTCCAGCCTCCGTCCTGACTATGGACACGGCGGCATTGTATGTGTGTGAGAGTGTTGGGGATTTTTTTTTTTGTTTCTGTTTTTGTTCTCTTCTATTTGTTTAGTTCACAGAAGGAAAACAAAGGCCGCTTCTGTGGCACCTGGGCCAGGCAGGGTAGCAAACGGGAAAACCAGGAGGGCAGAAAGAGCGTGTGGCCTCGTGTGGGAAAGCCAGCCTGCTTTGTGCTTGTTTATTACAACTGAAGGTTTCCAGGGGCCTGTGTGTGTGTGTGTGTGTGTTCAGTTGCTCAGCTGTGTCTGACTCTTTGTGACCCCATGGACTGTAGCCCGCCAGGCTCCTCTGTCCATGGGATTCTCCAGGCAAGAACACTGGAGTGGGTTGCCGTGCCCACCTCCAGGGGATCTTCCCGACCCAGGGATTGAGCCCGCATCTCCTGCATTGCAGGCAGGTTCTTTACCACTGAGCCACCTTCCAGGGACTTAGAATTGCCCAAACAGGAGGCCTGAGACCAGGAAGGGAAGGAAGCCCCTGCAGGGTTGGCATCTGAAGGTTCTCCCCAGCTTTCTTTGGGGAGGTTGGCCCCCAGCACCCTCTAAGATCAAAACAGCCAGCCCACATGTTCTGAACATCAGAATGTTCAAAGATATTTAGAAAACTGGCCTCCAGTCTGGGAGACCTTAAAACTAGATGGAGATAATAAACAAAAGGAGTGGCAGCGTCTGGCAATGCCCAGAGGAACGGAGACAGCTTCATTTGCAACTGGATGCGCTGGGGTTTTCGCTCACATCTTGGGCTTCCAACACAAGCCTGGCCTTCCTCTGGTTGGAGGAGGATCATTAGCAAAGAGTCAGGTACACAGGGCCAGCCCCCTCTCCCGCCAGAGTCAGTGACCTGATTGGAAAACAAATCTGATCACCCCATGGCCGCCCTCCAGGTGCCCACTGCTGGCTTCTTATCCACAGGCCTCCCAGCCCGGCCTGGCATTTCCTGGCCCCTGACCTCCCATCTCCCCATCATCTGGACATCCGCCTCCTCCCCAAGACACTCTGCTCATCACCCACACGGGCCCCAGAGCGGGAGGTCTCTCTGCCTACCCCTGGTGATCACACGGGGTTCAGCGCCTCTCAGAGCAGAGGGCACCCTGGTGGAGAAACTCTGGAACCTGGGGTTTGGGGACCTCGGGGGCATCTTTGGCCCGCAAGTGAGGGACTCCGTGGGACTCATGAAGAGAGGACAGCATGGCCCGTGCCAGAGCCGTGGGGTCCCCCTCATTCAGCCACAGCCAAACCTCAACACCCTGAGCACTCAGACCGCACACAGGGGTGCCGCCCCCTTGCCCAGCCAGCGTGCCAGCGTGCGGGTAGGGCTGCGGCACGGACACCCTCCAGCTCGGCCTGGCTCCCGTCCTGTGCCCGGCACCGGCGTTCTTGTTCAGAGAACAAAAGCCCGGAGGCCCCTGAGAAGCCGAGAAAGGCCGAACGCAGTGGCTTCCAGGGCTTGCTGACGGTGGCTGGGGTGAGAAAGGACACGGTCAGTCTCATCCCGGGGCACTCATAGCGGCTTCATGTGAAATAAGGAGTTAGCTCTTTGTACACACAGAACTGAAACGCTTCCCCAGAAGAGGATTTCTCTAACCGCATTGTGAATTCTGACGTTTGTTACCCTGTTTCCTTCCCAATGCTGGCTGCCACCTGCCAGAGCGATGCCCTCATCCCAGCGGGCTGCATCTCGGAGTTCGCAGATCCCTGTCTTCAGAGCTGCGGG